GGAACGTAAATCAATTATGTTGTAGGCAAATGTTATCAAAAGGATCAGAAAGCAAAATCTGTTGACAGTTGCCAAACATTATTTGTCTGACAATGTTTTATTCTAGTTCCCTAGTACCCTGAAAGATTATGATCATTTGATACAATAGCAAAGCTACATTTCAGTAGCTAAATGTTATTTATTTAAGAAACACACGAAACCAAGGAAGCGGAGACCGGCGGATAAACTTCCTTTTGGTTAACTTGTCAGGACGTTATTTATCTATATCTTGTTTTCAATTGCTACGCCTAACAACTTAATTAATACGAAATTCAATAATTTGTACTTATTCAAATTATGTCTGCATACAAGAAATGTAGATGGTATTTGCATATTTTATTAAATCGTATGACGACAATATAAACAAAATATATGACATAAACATTTCATCAAAGTATTTTACCAGATATACATGTAAATATATATATATATATATATATTTATATAATTTCACTTTGAATCATCGTTGTGGCGGTTGGCCTAAAGATTAACCTGCAGTCTAGTATTCTTAGGATCGCAAGCCACATCAGGAACAGGTCGTTGTTTCATTTAGCAAGAAATAATACAGCCAATGCTCAGTACTGGTTGGTTCCAGAAAGGGATTCGAGAGTGTTTGTTTATTTGTTTGTTTCATTTTACGCCTTTTTCCAACAGTACAGTCATATAGGCGGGTAATTTCCTAACTATCCTTCCTAAAGAGTTACACCAGTACAAAATACCTTCCTCGGCGCTAAGCTACCAACGCATCTTCTGGGGATCAAATCCACACCAGAGGTAACTGGATTAGAAGTCATCGACTCTAATCCCTCGACCACGGGGGCGGTGATTCGAGAGTGTGTTCTAAAAGCTTATAACTTACTACACAATCGAACTAAAATTAAAACTGTATAAAGTAATCATCATTATCTTTATTTTCAATCTATTTTGTATTTGATAATAAACATTACGCTTTTTACAAATATAACTCGTAATATCATATGTTCAGACTGTTCAAGTCCGAGTCATTATTATCATTTCTCTATAAATAATAAAATAACAAGAAAGACATGACATTTACGGTAACATATTATTAAGATAGAGATAAAGTGGTGTATAAATGTAGATACGCAGAACTTAGTGGTCATACATTGTTTCTCTGACTTGAATATTCTCCTCTAAGCAACTTAAACTGACTTAAGATAAACCCTTGTCTGAGTGACTGATTGAATGAAGCAGAAAAAGAAACAAGATATTTAAGCTTGATAGATTATTGACAACAAATGCTGATTACAAAGTCCCTTACACAGGGTAAAAAAATATTTCTCTAAAGAAAGTACATACTTGATGTCTATGTGAACCTTGTCATCAAGATTTGAATTGGCAATCTCAGTATTTGAGGGTATTTTCAAATACGTGAAGTATAAATTCTTGACATGATAAAAGAGCGATAGAGTCAATACATGTATTTGCAGAAAACACGATGATGATTTGATAGACATACATATACATTATGCATATAAGATACATTATTATCTTAGTGCTTGACTATTAAAATAAAAATGAAATAAAATCTTAAAAGATGCGGAAGGAGTGCAACAGTTAGCAATTTAGGTTGTGTAAAACCTAGCTTTATTTAGTGAAACATATAAAGATGTTTATATTTGTAAACTTATTATCATTGCTTACTCTAAGAGATTGGAGGAGGAAGGGCCAGGATTTTCGGTTATATGAACTTTCCGGAAATTGTTAACCATTTCGGTTTTCAAGATGAGCCTCGCTTTGAAAAGCGTCACTTTCGGACCACAGACTTTGTCATTTCAGAGAAGTTTCATAATTTGTATTTTTGTCTCGCATTTCATAGGTTTTAGCAACCAGTTTTATGCTAATGTTGTTCTGTTCTTTTATAGTATCTGTTATTTTGCTATATTCGCTTCAATTTTGGCATAATTTCTATGTCTTTTGTAAATCAATTTGCGGACATGATTTGACCTACTTTTTGCGCGTGGGTTTCAGAACAAAGAAACACATAATTTACAATTGTTTATTATCCAAACGTGCTATTATTGTGAAGTTTGCCCTTGAGAAGTCACTGTATAGAAAATGGTTCTTAACTTTCTAATTTTGGGGCATTCATTTGCGAAAAGATTGTCGAGGTGGTGTTGCCATAATAGCTTATATAACCTTAATTTAGATAATAAAATGATTCAAATTTTCTGGCATGGTGTTGGTGGTGCTACTGTGTCCAATCCTCACCACCACAAGTCATTGTGGTCCGAAATCCACCTTGTGTCTGATTTGAATGTGAAAGTTACTGTCTTAGACATTGGCTCTAATAATTTATGTAATCATGATGCCAGTGCAGTTTCTGTTGCCAGTCATATACTTTCTTTCGCAGAGGCGATCCTTTTAAAAGGCTGTGATATGGTTGTTATTTTTTAGATATTGCAAAGACAGTTCCAACCTGCATTAAATGCTAAAGTACAAGAAACTAATCAGATTCTTAGTGACAAATGCTCCAATCACCAAAATTTGATATTTTGGTCTCATTCGAGAAATAATTTCAACATCCGTTTCCTTAGGGACTATGTGGACAAAGATGGAATACATGTTGATTATGTGAGAGGCATGCCACGCTATTATAGATCAGTAAGGGGTGCTTACTATGTCTTATTATGTTAGTCAGAAATGCAGTTTCATTGTATATACTTTTCTTCTCTTTACAGGTTTGCTGTCACTTTCAATTGTTGAACAAAAATCAGTGCATAGAGTGACATATTTTGAATTGTATGTGTTGAGTGATATTTTCTACATTGCCGGACGAGCTTCCACTATTTACGTGGGTTTATTTTTGTTTTATATTTTCACAAACTTCATAGCATTTTTGCTATATTTTCTCTATGTTTGTAATACAGTTGCTCAGTTGGAATATACAGTATCTTTTAGCAAACTGTTGTCTGTTATACAGCATAGTCTATATTATAGTCTATATTGCACTTGCAAGATTTACATATGGCTTTGTCTTGGTTCGATTCAAACATTCTTCGATCAACGCATGGGAATACCTTTCCTTTTGCAACGACTTCTGATTAATACTATGTTACATAGGAATTCTGTCCTTTGAATGTGACATTTTTTTATTTTATTTTATTAAAAACTTTTCCTATCAACGCTTAACACAAACTTAAACGATTTTACACAATCGTATATGATTATATCATTATGTATATTTCACTTTTCATCTGTTTATTTGAACAAATTTACTAACTTTTATCATTTGATTTCATTTCCATCTGTGCCAAATACTTTTCCATTGGAATTATAGAAAATACACATGTATGCTTGTTGTTAATCTGTTCTATGATTTTAAAGAGTACAACAGGGAATGTATTTGGTTACTGTGGCAAAGTCTCATATTTTATGGACTTTTCCAGGCCTTTTCCCTGAGTGACGCATAGGAAAACCTTTCCTATTGCAATGTCATAGGGCGTTCTGACTGAGACATCAATAATAGTGGCACATAGGAATTAAAATTTCTCCTTTTGCATTGTCACAATTTTAATTACTTTTCATTTATACTTAAATTTTATCCTAGTGAGGCCCATGGGACATCTGTTCCCTTTTGCACAGTCCCAAAAATTGTTTATCATCTTCATGATGCTATACTCTCAATGTGGCGCATAGGAATAAATTCTATTTGCAATGTCATTTATCTTTAATATATTATTGACCCAAAGGGTTATTTTACCCTTTTGCAATGTCAGTTTTTACGAAGTATCTTGTACTTTTCGGTGTTTGGCATTCACATATGCAAGGAAACTATTTACTATTATGTTTATTCCTTTATCTAATACTTAATTACATGTTTCAGAATGCCAAAAAGAAAACCCTCCGCGTCTACCAGTGGTAAAGGCAAGGCAACAACATCATCCACTAGCGACGACCACAGGTTGGCGAGCATCATCGCCAATGCTTTAGTGCAGAATAAGTCTGCACTGAAGGAAGTAGCCGCCTTATTACCACCAATTACTATAGAACCAGGCATCCGTCCCGACGGTACAGAGGGGGAAATAACAGAACCGGATCATGCCGTTCAAAAGCAGCCGCGGCTGGGTAATACTTGTACTGATAATAGTGACTCTGACATTGATGAAGACAATTTGTCACTTTGTTCACATGGATCTGATCGTCTTTCAAGCTGTCAAGACAGTCCAGACACAGTTAATGAAATTGATTTGGGGACCTTTTCCTCAGTACACCCTGTCGTCAGTAAAAAATTGCGCTCCAAAATCCTTAATTTGTTTGTTTGTTTGTTTGTTTGTTGATCTCGGGGAGATATACTTTTCAGACAACTTACTGTCTGAAACAACTACCATTAAAAAAACACCTGGGGCAACTATAAAATCAGTGCACAAATCAGCGCCAAAACAGATTTCAAATATCATGACTTGGAATCGTGCATTCCAAGTTTATGCTGATATTTATGCCAGCAAATATCAGTCTGAAGGTTACCAAATGTTCAGATACATGACCCTTATCCAGAACTTAGCCAATCATGGCATTGCTTGGTTAACCTACGATCAGAAGTTTAGACAATTGAGAACTTCAGCCAATCTAGCCTGGGGTTCTATACATACAGAAACGTACCTTCATTGCATGATCTTGAAACCTTCCTTTCGTCTCAGTTCACCACAGTCAGGAAGTTCCTACACCCCTAAAGTACCCTTGCACATCCTACAGCGCCGAGGATATTGCTGGGAATACCAGAAATTCTCCTTGTGTTCAAAGCAAATATGTGACAGATCACATAAATGTTCCAATTGTGAAGGCTTCAATCATGGAGCCAGTAAGTGCACCAAACCTTTTAGACGCACACAAACTGCTGATACCTTCTCCAAACCAAAGTCAAACGGCCCTCAAAACCCTCACCCAAGACAGGCTCCCTCTAGCAAATAGATTTAATTTGCCCACACCTATCAAAGTAGATGTTCTTTCCAAGTACTTTATTAGATGGTTTTCGTAATGGGTTTCCCCTTGGTTCAATTGGTTCTATTTCTGTTAAAATACCACCAAACCACCCTTCAGTTGCTAATCACACAAACTTTGTATCTGTTAAAATTTCTTCGGAAATTAGTAAGAACAGAATTAAGGGCCCATACTCCTATCCACCGCTCGATAATTTCATATGCAGCCCTTTAGGTGTGGTACCTAAACGTTCACCTAATTCCTTTCGTCTTATCCATGATCTATCTTACCCTAAATTTGGTACTTCTGTCAATTCATGCATTCCGGAAGAAAAATCCACTGTTCAATTAGAGACATTTGATCATGTTGCAAGTTTGGTTCTACAATCAGGCCAACATTCCCTTATTGCCAAAGCTGATATTGAAGACGCTTTCAGAATCATTCCAATTTCGCCTCTAGATTATCATAAACTAGGTTTTACATTTCAAGGGCATTATTACTTTGACACAGTGTTGCCAATGGGAGCCTCCTCTTCTGTGTATTTCTTTGAATCTTTCTCAAAAGCCATCCAGTGGATCATGCAACATTCACTAAAAGTACGGAGAGTTTCACATATAATAGATGATTTTATATTTGTTGGTTCTCCGGCTTCTAGAGAATGTCATGAGGCACTTACAAAATTTTTTACATTAGCTGCAGACATAGGAATTCCAATTAAAACAGATAAAACAGTGTTTCCTTCAACGTCCGTTGAAGTCCACGGCATAACGATGAACACGGCAACCATGACTGCGTCCCTACCTACTGATAAAATTATTAACCTAAAATCGCTTTTACTTCAGAATATGCACAAAAAGAAAGTGTCCCTTAAAACCTTGCAATCTATTTTGGGTCATCTTAACTTTGCTTGTAAAGTTATCAAACCAGGCAGGTGTTTCCTAAGGCGTCTATATGATCTTACTAAAGGACACACTAAAAGCTGGCATTTCATTAAGATAAGTAAAGACTGTCGAGCAGATCTAAAGCTTTGGTACTCCTTTTTATCAGATTACAATGGAGTCACTCTTCTTACTAATGATAGGTTTATTTCTTCAAAAACCCTCCATTTATATTCAGACGCTGCGGGTTCTAAAGGTTTTGCATGCACCCATCAGTCTTCTTGGACTTATGGAGTTTTTCCTGATAAAATAAAAACATGCCACATTAATATTCTAGAGCTTTACCCAATTGCCCTTGCAGTTTCTCTTTTTGGTAATTGTTGGGAAAACAAAAACATACTATTCATTTGTGACAACCTTGCAGCAGTACATTGCCTGAATAAGCAGACTTCAAAAGACCCCCTTATGATGAAGCTTATTCGCATAATTGTATTAAAAGCTCTTCGTTACAACTTCTGTTTTAATGCCACCCACATTCCTTCAGTAGACAACACTATTTGTGATAAACTGTCTCGATTACAGGTAACAGAGGCTTTGGAACTGGCTCCTCACCTAAACAGGGACCCTGTACCAATTCCACGAGAAATGTCACCATGGATATTGCTCACGTGAAGAAGTCCTTGTTGCATTCTTCTCTGGCTCCGGGAACTCATAAAGAGTACGATCGGTGTTTTAAATAATTATACCATTCTTTGTTTATATCATTAGGCTTATTATACATTATGTTTTGAAACAGATTGAGATAATTGAAGTTATCAAATGAAGGCAACTGAACATTTATATTTCTACTTTCATTACGATATGAATGATTCGATTCTTACAGTACATAAGTTTAATCTTACATATAATGTATATTTAATTATAGAAATAATGATTACATGTATAATGCTATTTTGATAAAATTGTATTGACCCAAACCATTAAATAAATGCAGAAGCATCGAGCACAGTTGAGGTGACGTTTTGCAAATACTAAGTACTTAAATCTCATAATGTTCATTAAATTATAGTTTATTATCATAAAGTAATTTTAAAAAACTTGTATGGAATCAAACTAATTACGCAGAAGCATTGTACACAGTTGATATGTCGCTTTGGAACTTATGCAATGTAAGAAACAACTTCACGTCAGAAATTTACCTGAAGATAGATAATAGTTAAGAAGGCTATTTATTGCCCGTTGGTCGATCACGTTTTGTTTTTCTAAGACTTTTCTAACCAATTATTGTTTACACGATGTCAAACTTATTGTTTATTTTGACCCTTAACAGATTAAACAATTGATGTATCAGATTCTTATTTATTTAAATTTTAGATATTTATTATACTCCTTTTTATCAATATTTACCTTTGTCGAATTGTATTTATCACAATTGTGTACAGTAAAGATTGTATTCATCAAAATTGTTTACAGTAAAGATTGTAATTATCAAAATTGTGTACAGTAAAGAATGAGTTTATCAAAATTGTGTAGAGTTAATATTGTATTTATCAAAATTGTGTACAGTAAAGATTTTATTTATCAAAAGTGTTATCAGTAAAAAATCTCTTTTATCGTTCAAGATATGGCTAACTGACGTTTACATATATTTGTGACACCATATTTAAGTTAGTAAAGGCGTATTCATTTAATTGGACGGTAGTCATCACAATGTTAAACGAATTAGAATGTTACATGAAGTTAATGTCATTAGCAAAAAGTGTAAACGTGTCTCTAGTAATATATTAACATGTTGACACACCGACTTGAATCGGATTGAATTTCTTAAAATGGGTATGTTGATAAGAAAGAAAGGCGAACATATTTCTATTTACTAATAACTTTGAAACTGAAACACTTTCTATCATAGGCACCGTATTACTCTTGTTATATAAAGTTTTTACAATGTTTTCAAGTGTTAAAAGTACAAGAAATGTGATATTCAGTATTGATCATAACCACATCGAAAATGTTTAATTTTCATTGACTTCTTTTATTATTTTTGTTTCAATAAAACGTTGTATTATTGTCATCATGGCAAATGTATTCTTAATTGTTGTTCTCTAGCAAATAAATGTCTTCATTGTCTTATTCCAAATATTTATTCTGCATTGTTATCAATTGTAATTGCTCTTATCGAATTGAATCATTTTTAAAGCTATTTTGTAGTACACGTATCTGACATCCCGCTTCTATCAGTTACAAACATGACAAATCGAACTTGACATGAAGAGTTTGTTAGATGAAGTAATAGAAGTAAATAATGAGAGAAGATAGATTATACTGTTAGTCAGCGAAAGTTGCAAGAGACTATAGGAAATACTGATATAAAGCAGATTCAATTTGTTCGCGCAAGGGCCTCGCGGGGGGGGGGGATTAGTCTGGCCTGTTACATTTGAAAACATTTAGCATATAAGTTCTTATAAGTAAAACTAATTTCGCAGAGAGGAGACCGTTTCAAATGAAAAGGTTCATCACTGCAGAGCATTTTTATTGTTCGTAAATGGTTTTAATTAAACGTGCGTAGACTTATGCCGTCACTCATTGGCAAGGTTGGTTCAGTAGTATCATATTTTATTGCTGTAACAAATTGTTATTCAAATAAAGCAAAGTAAAACATACTGTGCTGTCAGTTACAATTAAGCCTACGATTTGATTTTAAGTTTAAGTTTGGATGCTTGTTTAAAGGCCTATAGTCCAGCATCAAACGGTTTTATGTTTGCGATTTTCAAAAATAAATAAATAAACTAACGAAGATAAAAATAATTTTATTAAAAGAAATATCGGCCACCATTTGGAAAAAAACGTAAAAGGAATTATACGGATTTTCGGTGGCTGAACAACGTTGTACGAGTACCTTTTTTGTTTTCCTGTAAATCAAATAAATTTTTCATGTTTTAAATCATCATTAATTGGTTAGTTAATCTTATTACTGAAAAGTAATTGGACACATGCAATTTTGAATTAAATTTCAACAACAACTTAACTTCTTGTTTATTTTAAAAAGCCATTCTGAAAAACGGATTCTTGCTAGTTGAATATTATCCTCGGCATTATTGACAGGCTTGTTGTTGTTTACATTGAATCAAACATTACATGTTTATAGTCTCTATTGTTCTAATATTAAAAGACTTTTAAAGTTTATGTACATTACGTTTTTTTGCAGTATTTGTTTTAGTATTCAATGATACACAGTTACTGTAATAAATAAAATAACAATTGTAATAACATTATCTAGAGCTCTCAATAAATAAAAAATTGCTTATATGTGATTCTGATAAAAACTTTTCTTGATTATCTCTAACAACAAAATAAAGTCGAGTCTACTGTTAGTTTATATAGTTTATATATGACAGCATATTGTCATTTCATTTTGTACTTGATATTTAAAGCCTACAATCATGGGGAATTATAAAAAATAGCCTCTATGTTATCCAACTTGCGATAAAAAGTAATGTTTAACGGTTACATAACATATTGTAATTAACGTCACCAAATGATCAAAATGGTCATATACAACGTGAATAAAAGAAAAAAAGAAAACCATTGATCCATAACATATTTGACTTTTCCATTGTATTTTTATACATTTGAATGACCCGAATGCTCGCTCTATGACAGTTTGAGGATTGATTGCTTTTAGCACCACGGCAATTACCTTTATATGCTTTGTGAATCAAAGCTGTTTAATCCCACTGGCATCATAAAATGATGACGGTTCTCTATCTATAATGTCACATCAATCACTTTTATTGGCAATACCATTTACATGTTGTTAAATTGCACAAAGCAATAAGCTCCAAGATAATTAATACGAATAAAGAACATAGTGTGCGTCTTGCCAATCTGTGACTACATGTATATGTTGTGATATTTATCGGATGTTTATAACGATATGAAATGCAGTTATGTATATTCCAGTTTCTAAAATAAAACATTATTTTAAAATCTTGATATCTTTAAAGAAAAAAAATTGCTAAATAATTTTACTTCATGCTGCAAAGGTATTTTGATATAAACAACATTTATCTTATTTTCTAGAATTAAAATTATATATTTAAGTTCTGTATCAAGTTACAGAAAACCACAAAACAAGTCGCATTTCAATAGCCGCAAATTATTTACTTCATACGCTCACATTAAAACAAAAACAAATAAGTTAGTCTAAGAACAGGATTTGAAATGTCTAATTAGCAAAAATCTATGGTGGACATAAAAGCATTTAAACGAATTAAACAATATGTATCTTGCGATGTTACACAAATGTACTTGTTTCTTTAATTACTTGATATTTATTCTAACACGACCCACATTTTTTCCCTATTGAACATAGAAGAACCGAAAGTGTGTATTATTATGCAACAAAATCACTGTTGACGTTCTTTTTTTAGACTTGTGACGTAATCATTATATACATGTGACGTAACCATTAAAAATGCGACGCGCTGAAAATAAGTACGGAAACAAATCAGTAGCAATTTAGCTTATTATAAGGTACGACAAGATTTATTGTTAATGTCGTGTTAATATCGAAATAATATATCCAAATCGGTGATTTTATCGATTGATAACATCTCTGTTTGTCGTTCGGATGCGCATCATTATATCACTCGGGCTACGCCCTCGTGATATACTTCCTCGCATCCGAACTCCAAACAGTGATGTTATTGAGCGATAAAATCACTGTTTGGGATATATTATTTCTTAATTAATATACATTATTCTGATCATTTTTCATTCATATTCGTTGTTATCTTAAACGTAAATGATTTCAAAAATGTCACAAGTGTATTGTACTGAACACATCGGACATAAATATATCTTCAAAAACTAATGTCGACCAATGAAATGTAAGTCTTCTGTTCTAATATATATATAAAGGTAATATATATGTTTAAAGGTATCCAAAATATTGACATTTGAAGTCGTCGACCGAAACGTCATGGAATTGTCAGAATAATGATCAATGTATCAGAATTTAAATCAATCCACTGATTAAATCTGATATCGATGTACAGCATTGTCACAGAAACATGTCATAACACACGCTTTTAGCATCTTTATTTGTAAAACAGCATCCGATACATGCTGTACGCTACTTTTACAGTGAAACGGAAGTGGTTTTATTATTATCTGCAACTACATGTATTACGCGTCTGTGATGTCACCCATTTATTATAGTTAAACTGTATGGATATACTATTATCTTAACTGGACAAAGATATGGGGAATAAGACTAAAACAACGTTCTTGTCAAATTGAAATTGCATTTTTTTATAAAATTAAATGCTTTTAAAGGGTATATAGGCTCAGGTTAGGTTCATTTACTCTGCATACTTCTACGTCTGATAATTTTACCATGTATTTTTTCTTTTGAAATAAATCAATAAATTGTTAACCGTATTTGTACGAAACATGTTAAAACAAAGGATTACAAATTTGAGATTATCTTTAATTCCCACTCAGTAGTTTAAGCTGCATTTATTAAATAACTCAGCTGTATTTGCTAAAAAATCTTATTGTAAATAGGCACAATGATCGATGAAAAGATTCTCTGAATCATATTATTGAAAAACAACAACCACAAATAAACATTAAAATACACTAACAACACATACAACAACAAAGGAATA